CCCCCCCCCCCCCCCTCCACATACACATACATTCACAGTGAACAGTCCACTGTTAAACATTTTCTTAATGCGTGATTTCTGAGAGACATAATATAATATTGGAGAGTTGAGTATTAATTAGTCTATCACTGACAGCATATTAAGAGCTTCGGAATAGTATAACGCTTTTTTTAAACGAGATCTACTCAAAATAAACTAGTAACAATTCAGTTTGTTACCAGCACCTACCGCTCACTGATACTTCAGTTTTCCATGTAATGCTAATGTAAAAGTTTTTTGACATTTTTGTATCTCTTTCGTTTCAAAGAAATTATAGACGTAAGAAACAATTAAAAATATGGTGGTCTTATCATCCAGATTGTTTATTCAGTTGTTAATGTTAACAGGTAGTTTATCTTCTTCATGAGTAGACTATTTTTTTAGTAGCTAATGATTGAAACACAGTAATAAAAACTTGAGTTAGCTGATGATCAGAAGTTCAGAAAATAGAGAAAAATAATATGCATGCAATGATTCGTCATGTGCAGAGTAAAAGTTATTTCGATACATTTTTCGAAATTATCTCTGAAAAATTAATATTTTATATGCTATTATAATTAATAACATTATTCAATTACAACACTGAACAACATCTAATGAATTTATTTCACTCATTAGCGTTTTCTATTTTTACTCTTCGAGCGTTACCAAGCATTTGTAAATGAGTATTGTTGACAGTAACAAATTCATTCTCGTTCATAAATTATCTACCATAATATCATTTATTTTCAAAATATTCTTTTTCTTTCATCTTTTTTTCGATACAAAATCTGTTGCAACAGCATTAAAATCAATTCGATAATCTTTTTCTATATTTATTAATGCCAAAAATGATAATCATCCTTGGTCAGTTGTATTTCGAAGACACGTTTTGATTCTTCTTAACAATGAAAAACTTCTTTCACATCCACATATCTTTACATGTATAGTCCATAAAATTTTTAATAGTGTATTCATTGTTGTAAGTGATAAATGGAAATTATGTTGAACAAAAAATTCGGTGGATATTGTCAAAGTCCATTCTTTTTTTCATCAACGACTGCTTTGTATAATCACTGCTCTGCTCTCAAATCATCATAACTTATATTATAAAATCGAGCAATTTCCTTTAATTCATCTTCACTTAAAAATACCTTCGTCAAAAATAATTTTTCATATAAAACTACAATAGACAAATAATTTTCATCAAATCTTTCTTCGATAGATTTAATTATATTATTTATCACTGCATAAAATGAATTAATTCGATATTCATCTTGAACTGTTACAAGATTTGGATTAATTTCATCACCTCCAAAACGTAATGGAATTTTTCTTTTACAACGTTCAGTAGGTTCATCAATATCATTATCCATACAAATTTTCATTGAATAATCTCAAATTCTTTTAAATTCATATTCATTTCGTAAAGATTGAAGTGAATCAATTGTAA